GGGAGGATGGGTGCGGAGCTGGGGCGAGGGGAGCGCGTTTCCCGCAGGGCTGCAGGCGGCGGCGCCGGCGGTGGCAGGGTGCCCACGCGGGCTCTTTCATCGCCAGCCTCGTGCGCTGCCCAGCGGGCCACGCTGCTCCCGCGAGCGCGTTCCTCGCGCGCCCGAGCTCGCAGCGCGCGGCGCCGGGCTGCCCCTTGCACATCCAGCGAGAGCTGTGCGTGGCCAAGGCTCGTGCGTGGCTGTAACTTTGCTGCAGTGTGTGCTTCAGAAAATAGCTCAGCACAATAGTAGCACATTATTATTATGTGTTTTTATATATGTATTTCTTCTCCCCACAGGCTTTTTGAGGCAGAAATTTGTCTTTTGCAACATGTTTGTGCAGTGCCTGGCACATGAGAGAATAGATCAAGGCTGAGATTTCTAAGTACTGTAAATAAGTAACAGTAATATAGCGTGGGGTATATTTCAAGGGCTCCACCATGCAGCATTGAATAAATTTTGGAGTCCTACAGCCCTAATAGAAGCTCCTGGACCACACATGCAGAGTCAGCTCTGGCGTCCATGTCTCAGGGGATATTAAGCCCATTGCTCACTAAAATCCCAAAGAGGGCAGGTGTGTGATGTAGCCAGCACTGCAGACCATGGTAGCTGTGTAGTGTTGTATCAGCTATGCCAAGGCGTTGATAAGTTGTCAGCCTCGTGGTTCATGTCGTGCTGTTCCTTTGCACCACTTTTGCTTTGCGGTAGATGGGCTTCATTTTCTCAGTTTTAAACCATGCAAAGTAATGAGATAAACTGAAAGTTTGCAGGGAGTCGCATGTGCTGCAGCAGAAGGTGGAGGGCAGGAGACAGCCCAGGCCTAACTCTCTGTTCTCGCTTTGTCCCTCAGCTCTCGGTGGCTTTGCGCACACCATGCTCCCCAGGACTGCGTGGTAGCTCCTGGCAGCAGAGGCAGGAGGCACATCGGGGCCCGAAGGACGGGAGCCAGAGGGCAAGGACATCCAGCAGAGGTACCGGCCGTGTGGCGCGTCTGCAGCACGAGCAAAATACTAGTTTTGGGAAGTGGGCGAGAGCGGCAGGCGGCGCCCGGCCGCTGCCTGAGGCAGTGCGGGCGTGGGACGGAGAGCAGCGGTGCCAGCATGGATAAGGACGGCACGAACCTGGCCGACCAGCAGTACGAATGCGTGGCCGAGATCGGCGAGGGAGCCTACGGCAAGGTGTTCAAGGCACGAGACTTGAAGAACGGCGGCCGCTTCGTGGCGCTGAAGCGGGTGCGGGTGCAGACGAGCGAGGAGGGCATGCCGCTCTCCACCATCCGCGAGGTGGCCGTGCTCAGGCACCTGGAGCCCTTCGAGCCACCACACGCTG